TCAAGTATTTTGTACTTGGTTTAAGTACCCATACCTTAACGTACTTCTGATTTGAGTACGGATCACTCAATTATTTTTATTATGTATACTGGATAGAATAATCAATAAACTGTACAGACAGATCCTTATACTAGTCAATAATTCGAGAGACAAGTCTACAGATTATTCCATAGAAAGTCAATATGCTACTTAAGAGACCAGTCAATAGACTACTAAATATACAATTCAATTTGTTAGTCAGTTGTTCAGTCAATGGACTAGTTAAAAGACTAGTAATCAGTCTACTAGAAGGACTAATCAATTAACTGGTCCAAGGACTAGTCCATATACTTGTTAACAGACCAGTAAATAGACAACTCAATGGTCTAATTCACAGACTAAGTACTCAATAGATTAGTCAATGAACTACTTAGTCAATATAATTTGACTAGTTAATAAAATAATAAAAATAATTAATACGCTATTCAAAACCAGTCCATGAGCTGGTCCAGAGAATAGTCTCTTGCCCCATTTTAGTAAAACTTTCAGAATTTCAGTTTTATACCAAATGTCAACCTGCAAAACATTTTGTGGAAAAAATCTTCTTTTTTAACCACTGTATGGCATATGTACTTGTAAATCTATGCCTATGTTTATATGTTGCATGCAATTTAGTTGAAAACTAAAGTTTAAAAAAAAGCATATACACACCATAACTTAACATTAGTCTCGTTTGAACCATGGCATACTTTCACTTTGATACAGTTTGTGCGTGCGTGTGTGTCTTTAAGCATGTTTGAGTGTAAGTTTATTTATTTATTTTTTCTACTTCTTCATTTTTTTACTCTTTATTTAATACAACTCAGAATGTGTATATGCAAGTTTAAAAAAAGTGTATCTTTTATACCATAAAAAAGGATATATGTTTGTTTGTATATATGTTCCAGCTAAATGTCTCCTATGTTTATGCACAATACTGTAAGAAGGCTGTTGCTATAATTGTACAATGTACATACATGTATGTAAAAAGTATATAAAAGTCATTTATTAACAACATTGAAACCATAAATACTGCATGTTTTAGTACTTGCTATTGGTATTCATACCAGGATATAGAGACCCCTTCCCTTTAGGTTCGAAAAAAAGGAGCCACGAATACAAACCAGCATGAGTAACTAGTGTTATTTTTTCTTTACACTGCATGTTGCATGTTGTTAGTTGTTTTTAAAGGAAAATAAACACATGCGTATTTTTTTTATTATTGTTGTAGTATTTTTAATAATAATACGAGAAAAAAAAAACTTTGACTTTTGTATGACAAAAACAGACAAAAATATATAAAGCAGGCAAAACGACAACGATTGAAAAAATTGTGTATGTATGTATATAAAAAAGGACACAACAACTTTACAGGACATGTGACTGCAGTAAATTTTTTCACTATAATAATTGAAATTAATTAAAATGCACATGAATGTATGTCGGTATATATAAAGTATGTGCATATAAGAAAAACAAGTAAGAAAGTATTGTCGGGCGTGACCGACCATATGATACCCTACACCAGTTATGAATATTAAATGTGATTTATTTTTCATAATAGAGCATTTATCTTCAATGTGTTCTGTTGTATGGGGGCTAGGTGAAATAATGGACTGATTTTAACCATTTTAACCATAAATAGGCTTCGTCCTTGAGCCAAAAATAGCGTGTGTGCCAAATTTCATCCAATTATCTTTAAAATTGCAATCTGTACTTGTGCACAAGGTTTACATGTACAGCCCGCCAGACGGACGGACAGACGGACATAGCTTAATCGACTCAGAAAACAATTCTAAGCCGATTGGTAAACTTTAAGGTGGTAAAGTTTTGTATGTTACAAACATCGGCACAAACCCAATATACCCACCCCACTAAAGTGGTGTAGGGTATAAATATAGACTATAACTATACTAGAACATTTGCTTTAACTAAAAATTTTTTCAATTTTCTGATGAGTACTTTGGGGAAATTTAATTTTATGTTCTTCATATATAATCGAACAAATTAGATCATTTTAGTAGAATATATACAGTCAGCAAGTGATACATACTCAAATCGATTCGGAGCGGTTTTCCTTAAACTAAGTACAAAATACTTGATTCCATTTTTTTTTTTTTTGGGTCAAAGTGATCTTACAATGTACTTATTTTGGGAATTTTAGGTTTGATTTAAGCTCAAATGCATACTTAATGTGAAACAAATATAAGATTGATTTAAGAATATAAAAGAATAAATTAATCACTATATGGGCTTGATTTGAGCTCGATTTGTACTTGATTTCAGAATTTAAAACATTTCAACAAAAATATTAATTCTAACAAATAGATAACTTCTAATTTAAGTTCAAATTCATACTTAATTTGAAATAAAAATAAGTATGATTTAAGAATGTGAAAAATTTAATTAATTAATGGGCTTGATTTGGACCCGATTCGTACGTTACTTAAGAATTCAGAAAATTTGAGGAAAAATGTTATTTACAAAATAACACAGTGCTAACTCAATTTAAAAAATAGTAATAGTAAATTTTCTTAAAACTGTATTCTTTACTTACTACACTCTTGCACTAAATGAACGATATAGTATAAGTTTTTGTGTCTATATATTTATATAAATTTTAAAAAGATTAATTTTAAAATAGTTCGCTTGCAATTGCTAAGTGCCCCAGATTGATGGGAAATGTAATGAAATAAAACAGTTATTGCCCATTTAGTTGCTAAATAATTTGAAAAAATATATTTATTGTCCATTCGCATAAAAATTAATGTATAATTTAGTGAACTATTAACAGAAACAATTATCACTGGATATTTATAACACTTTCTGAGTCTTTCCAGAGAAATTAAATAAATGTTCCTAAAATTATAATAAACCAATATATTGTTTTTTGCAATATTACATTTTATTATGAACCGATATATAGAAGTTTACAAATTTGATTGAATTTTAATTGAACCAATTAATTTTTTAATTGACTCAACGGGTTTTTACAGCCTACTTTTTTATTTTGGTTTTTGTTTCATATTTTCTTTGTTTATAATGCATAAAATGTTTATAATTATTAAATAGTCAATAATATTTTAGGCTTCAATGGAACTTCACAGCTATAGTTGTACAAAAGTTGTTTATGTCTAAACTATTATGATGCTTTTAAACAAATTATATATGTTAAAGTAATTTTCTGAAAGGGGTCTGACATGGGGCATCAATTATCAACCGATCATAACATTTGGTAGAGAGACTTTGGTTCTTCTAAAGAGAGTTTGTGGTAAATTTCACAGTCATATTTGTATTTTTAGGCCAATTGTGAACTATAAACTCTTTATATAAAGCGAATGGTCAATTATTGACCGATCTTTTGTGTAAAACTTGCTTTTAAAGAATTTCATCGTTATACTGGAATTTTAAAGCCAGTAATGAGGGGGGTAGGGTCAGATATCGAATGATCTTCAATAAATTTGATAGGGAGATTATTTAGAAAGTAGTTTGTGTTGAATTTTATAGCTGTACTCGCATTTTTAATCCAGTAATGAGCTTTAAACGCATTTTATAAAGGGGAGCTTATTTGGGAAGTCGGTTCAATTATGAAACGATCCTCAAAAAACTTGGAAGATATATTTCGTTTCTTATAAAATAACCATATATAGAGAATTTCATCGCTATACATGCTTTTTAAGAGTGTTATAAAAGAAAGTCATTTCTGAAGGGAACTTTCTATAGGATTAATTATGGACCTGTGCTCACCATAATTTCTGGGTACTTAAAACAAACTTTAACAAAATTTCGTTACAATTGCTACCTAATGTTTAAGTTGTATACCGCGGTTTCACTTATATGGGGGACAGGTGAAATCTTAGACATATTTTGTTTATTTCAATACCAACACTTCAACAATACAATTTCAGCTCTCTAGCTGCTTCGTTGTGGCCTCTATCGTGTTTTCAACAGACAGACGGACATTGATACATCGTCTTAGAACGGAGCTGGCCTTGTGGTCAGATCATACCATGATCAATGGTTGTTTACAAAATACGAAGGACATTGATCAGGCGAGATAATGTTAGAATTGAGTGGCGTTATGTAGCATAAGGCGACAGCAAAAATTTTATTTATAAAAATTTACCTATCAGTTGGCCTTCAAGATCAAGGGATTTAACAACACTCGATTATTTCTTCTGAGGTCACCAGCAACCCCCACGATAGAATCAATATAGGTGCATATACATACCGTTCTAATTAAAGCCCCCTTTACACGAGCACATAAGTAATATGGTCTGTCAAAATTTTGTGTAGAAGAGTACGATGGAATCGTCTAAACGCAATATGTAATGAAACCATCACACATTGAGAGAAAATACGGATGCAAAACTTGACAGTCGTATGGCTCTTGAAATGATTCAAAAAACAAGCAAGTCGCATTGATCAGGGATGTATTTCTATGTAAACACATACAAAAAAAGTGAAACATCTTTTTCCATCTTAATTTGTTATTGTTTTATAACAACCGTGTAAACACAAAAATATAAATGATACGACTTTTATTCTCTATTTTGTCATACGAATAGAATTTCATTTTACTTTTTCATTAGACTTTACATACGTAAAGTGTGATCATGTAGAGGGCTCTTATATAACCTTTTGGATTTTTGATCAAGATCAACAGAACTGGACTTTCGGAGCAAAATTGCATAGCAAAGTAGACGTTTAAAGCAAACATTTTATCGAACTTTTATAACGCCACTTTATGATATATTAAAATATCATAACTTGTAGTCTATTCGTAAATTGCTAGCTCTGATTTGGTGATATGACAAAGATAAGTTCTGAAAAATATATTTCAAAGTTCCTCCGATTTTTTTTCTTTTAAATCATATATAAAATGAGCGGATTTTTTGCAACTTATAACATAGAAATTCAGTTAAAATTTAGTTTAAATTTGATTCAAATTTCAATTAAAAAAAGTTAATAAAAAAACCTACCGTCAATATATCCAATTTCTGATAATTATAGGACGACCGCTCGGCCATAATTGTGTTACACCAGATGTACGGCAACACACATTTGTGTAGATTGACACGTCATACACATGGCATGTAATCAACGATGTCAAACTATTAATTTATTTAATATTTATTTTTATATAGATTTTTGTTTTTGGTTGTGTTTATTATTATTTGTTGTTATTGTTATTATTATAGTTGTTGCTATTATTTGTAGTTTTCTTGTTGTTGATATTTGTTTAAACAATTTTAATGGCCTCAGACGGCGACGTTGTGTAGAACACTCACGCACTTTTTTTCACTCACAAACACAATCCTTTGTGTGTATGTGTAACGAAATAGAAACAGGACTAAGTAGGAATGAATATATAGATTTACAGGTTATAAGTAGTGAATAAATACAGCGGAACGACTGAACAATTTGTTGTTTGGTTTAAGAGTTTTTTTCTTGTTAAAAAAAACTTTTTTTGTTTTCTTTTTTTTAAGTATTAAAAGCGGTTTTATTAAATTTTCTTTTTCTATTTTTTTTGTTTTGTTTTAAGGAAACTGGACGCGTTTTAAAATTTTTTCATACTAGTAATTATTGATTTTTCTTTTTTATTTTATTAATTAATTTTATCATTAATATTTATACATATTTTTTTGTTTTTTAATGATGTGATTGATTTTTGTTATATACAGATGATTATTTTTTGAATATATTTCATTTCTTGTTAATATTTTTTTTTGTATTTGTGTTTTAATTTTTTTCAAACTTTTTTTTATTTTGCACGAGGAGAGAGAAGAAGAAAAATTAATTTTAAAATAAATCACAAAAATCACAGATTATTTTTTTATTACTTTTATTTTTAATTATTATTTTTTTTTTAATTAAAGATGGAAATTAATTTTTTTTAAAGTGGAGTTAGAAAGACAGAGATCTGTTTTATTTGAGTATTTTTTACGAGTTTATTTAATTTATATGATTTTTTTAGTTAGCTGGTATTTACATATGATGCTGTTGAAAATGATGAATTTATTGCAGATAATTTTCTTTGATCGTTTGCGTATTTTCTTAGGATTCTTTCTTTTCTTGGAAGGCCTTGAAAAGGCACCTCTTTAAATACGTTTTTTACACTTTATACAGTTGTGTTTTTTGTGTTAATTTATTGCACAAGTTTATTTTTGTTATTTTCATTCTTTTAATAATTTTTAGATTTAATTGGTTTTTTCCCATTCGTTTTCCAAACTTTATGTCCAGACTTTTTGTTATTTTTTTAGTTTAATTTTTTTTCACTCAATTAACAATTTCTGGCTTCCAAAACGAACCTTTAATAGGTAGATAATTTACCAATTTAATTTGATGTTTTATTTCATGATTTTTATTGATGTTACAGTATCTCAAAAAAGTATTCATATGTATTGATCATATATTTTTTTGGTAGAAACTCTTAAAATGATTTAAATTTAACTTCAACAAAAAGTAGAGAGTTTTAATGAAAAATCAAATTTTGTTGGAAAATAATATAACTTTTAGTCAAAATTCGAACATTTTGAGATTTTTTTTCTATTTTTTTTTAAATTTGAAAGTTTAAGTAAAATATCAAAATTTTGGTTCTTTAATACAAAAATGAAATTTTTAGTTAGAATTTGAAAAAAAGTCGAATTTTTAGTGAATTTTCTAATTCCTAACGAAATTGTTATAAAACTTGGAATACTTAGTCAATTTTGGTTTCTTTAGTGAAAAACTAAATTTAAATTAATTAAAAAAAAAAAAATATTGAATAATCGAATTCTTAGTGAAATTGAAATTTTTATTCAAAAATCTAATTCTTAGTGAAATTAAAATTTTTAAGTCAATTTCAAATTTTTATGAAATTTCAAATTTTTATAAAAATAAAATTTTTTATAAAATGTATTATTTAAGAAATTTCGATTTGTTTTTGAAATTTCAAGTATTTAGCTTGTGAAAATTACATTTTAAATGAAATTTAAAATTTTTAATGAAAAATTGAAAAATAAAATTTTTAATAAAAATTCGAATTTTAAGTAAAAAATTTAGTGAAAAGTCTAGTAAAGTTTTAGTGAAAAAACCAATATTGAAAGATAGAATTTTTAGTGAAACTTTTTTTTTCTATTGAATTTAGAATTTTATATTGAATTTCGAATTTTTATTTAAGTTCGAATTCTTATAAATTTTAAATTTTTTTATGATATTTTGATTTGTTTTTGAAATTTCAAATGTTTTGTAAGTGAAAAATTAATTGTTAGTTTGATTTAAATTCTTTTAGTGAAAAGTCGAATTTTAAGTGCAAAATGTAAATTTTAATTAAAAGTCTAAGTTTTATGAAAAATAAAATTTTTAATAAAAATTCAAATTTTAAGTAACAAATTTAATTTTTATTATAAAATCGAATTCTTGGTGAAAATTCAATTCTGTCTATTGAATTTAAAATTTTTCTGAAATTTTAAATTTTTATAAAAAATTTTTTTTTATGAAATTTCAATTTGTTTTTGAAATTTCAAATATTTTGTGAAATTTTCTAAACTTAACCTATTTTTTATAATTATAAATATTTAATATTAAGGGAATATTTTAGGCCCGTACTGTGGGCCTAGACATAGCTCGATTGCCTTAAGATCCGTTCCATAAAATTACGTAATAGGAATAGAGAGAGAGAGAGAGTATAGCACAAAATCGTCAAGAGAAATATGCTCTATCCAGATGTAGCGTATTTTGTGATACATGGTAATTCAAATAGAATCAGTTAGCCTTACTAAATATGAAATAATTAATAATAACACCCTGTAACAATTTTATAATCAGCTCTTTTGTCCTAATAAAAGGACTTCAAAATTTAAAGGACTTACAATTTCAAACGAATATTTAAAATATTTATATGTATTTTATGATGCTAATATTGGTATGAAATAAAAGCTGGGAATCTATACATTCTATCTATATTATTATCGAAAAAGAAATTAAATTTGAAATAGGTCTCATTTTCGAAACAAAAATGTTAAACTACTTTTTTGTAACAAATGATCTAAGCTTCCATTTCTTTTTTAATCCTAATGAATTGAAATAAATCATATTATTTTGAAGCAGAGGTTCTTAGCTGCATTTGATATTAATATTAATACCAAAATTTTTATATAAATTTGGAATTCCATCTTTTGAAATCGCATGCCCTTTAAATTTTAAAGTCCTTTTACAGGAGCATAAGAGCTGATTATGAAAAACTGAGTACACAGAGTTAGTACTAATGGTCCACAGTTTCCTGTGCACATAGATTTTTTCATGTATGGAAATGACTGTTGCACGGTGTAATAGCATTATACTAATGTCGATATTATAAGGTTATTTTTCAGAAGAGAGTTTAAAGGTTTGGGCCAAATATAACCGAAATGTTGGTTGAAATAGATTTAAAGGGACTTCGTTTTGACAAGACAACATCTGCAAGTCTGCTTAGTATCCAATGTCCAGTTATTACTGCAAGAAACCTTGGATTGATGATGATTCATCAATCGTCATCATTCTGTCATTGACATCCAAGGAATTGATGACGATTCATCTAATTTGTATTTTAGTTCTTATAATAAGAATATTTAAGAGATTTCAAGAATGTTATTTATAGTTTCTGAAATTTAAAAGCTCCTCGTGAGATAAAAGTTTAACATGATTTGAAAATTTATGAATAAAACATTCTACAGAATAAAACTGTGTGTCCTACCAATTTCAAAATATTCCTTACTTTGTACAAAACTCTCTCAAGGAGATATAAGATTCGTTGTTGTAACTGAATCGATTTAGGCAACAAAATTTGAATAGTTCTTGTTACTAAATTTTAATTTGATTGCTTATATTCTGTTGTTGTAACTAAAAAATTGATTTACTGACATCGAATCATGTCATTTGATGAAAATTACTTTGTTACAACTGATCTAACTACTGCAGGTCTTCAGAATATCGTTTTCAGAGTTGGAGCTTGTAAAATTATAAATTTTATCAAACTAATGCCAATTTTAAGCAATAATAACAAAACTAAGATTAAAATCCCTCTGGGGGTTTATGAGCCATTTGACCTTGTTTTATACTTCAATGGAGACAGCCAGACTGGATGTTGTTAACTCTAAAGGCAAAATTATAAGGCAGAGTTTATATAGAATATTTTATTTTAATATTTATTTTTCTTAACTTCATATAACTAATTAAAACAAATTAGAAAATGCTTTAATTATTTAAATTTTATTAAATACTTTTTTCAGAATTGTCACTTAATATTGTACATAAATTTCGATTTCTTTTTATTACTATTATTTTTCGAATTTTGTTTAATTCGTTTGCTTTTTAAAATACTTTATACGTTTACTTTTTTAAGACACTGTTTTAATTATTTAATTAAGATTTTCTAAATGGAAAAAATTAGCAAAAATATAAAAATTTATTAAATTATAAATTAATTATTAGATATTAGTTAAACATTCTTTTATTTTTTAATTTTATTTTTATATATTTGAACACTTTTGTTTATATATTTTTATTATTTTGTTATTTATATATATTTTTTATTTAATTGTAATACAAATTTTACACTAAAATTGTTTTTATAGATAAAATTTCTTTTATAATTTTTTTGTTTATTATTTTTATATTATTGCTTTTCTTTAAAAAACTAAAACATTTCTATTATAATTTCCAAATTTATTTATTTTTTTTTTTTAATTTACTTATTTTTTCAATTTAATTGTTCCCTTGTAAATTACTAATTAGATTTTAACATTTCTCTATTTGTAAACGAAATGAAAATGTTTGTGCTGAAAACTCAACGGAAAACCCCAGTGATTGTTTGTTATGCTGTCATTTCAGCCTCTTTTTTCAATTTCGTTATGTTTTTTCTATTCTTCAAAATTCGTTTTTTATGTTTTATTCTCCTTTCGGTTTTACGCATTTCCACTCTCATTCGTGTGTAGTTGTACGTATACTCATGCATAAATAAGTACATATTTTTGTATGTGTAAGTTTGTATATGTTTAGCACGTGTGTCAAAAAAAAAAGATGAAAAGAAAATGTATTAAAAGAGACTAGAAAAAAGTTTCGTTAAGTTTTATTTTTACTCCATTATTATTTTATTTGATTTCCTTTCGTTACAGTTTGTTTTTCATTCATTCTTTCCTTTCGTGTATGTATTATTTTTTTCTTTGACTTTCCAGGCCAAATTTTGATTTTTTTTTTTTCATTGCTCATTGTTTATTTTTTTGTTTCTTTCTTACATTTATAATCATTGAATTAATTTATAAACTCTCACATACAGACTTGTACAAATTCACTTCATACATAAGGGTACATAACAGGGCAAAAGTAAAGAAAAAAAACTCAAAAATTACCATATTTCGTGTATTTGTATGGGTGCTTCTCCACCTTTCATTTTGTGTTGAGCATGCATAAGCATGTTTATGTTTCATAGTTTATTTTCTAGCTGATTTGTTTGTTCGGTAAGGAATAATATCAGTGAAACTTTGACAACTATGCTATGGTCCATTTTTGAAATAGTATATATACGTCCTTTATTGGGAGTTTTAAATCAATTCTTTAGCTGTCAATAACAAAAAAGTTATTGAAATAACATTCCAAGAGCTTTTTAATCTCTTCGGAAGTTTTAAAAAAAGAACATGTCACCTTACCAAAATGCTGCAGAAAAACGAAAGCTGGTTAA